TATGTATGAATATCACTGATAAATACTTATATTTATTATTAATGAATTATTATCAACATTCAAAAATCCGATGTGCAAGAAAATCTATCTTGGATTAACAAACAGAATGCAGAGAGAAAAAAGATATTGCTACTCACGAATATATTCAATGTATTTTAAATTTACAAATAATTGTAATGTATATGTTCCTTTATATCGTAATATCATGTCGATATCACTGATAAATACTTATATTTATTATTAATGAATTATTATCAACATTCAAAAATCCGATGTGCAAGAAAATCTATCTTGGATTAACAAACAGAATGCAGAGAAAAAAAAGATATTGCTACTCACGAATATAATATGTATAATGACCGAGATCACTATGCTCCGTCAGCCGTGTCGATTTCGATCTTTCGTCCAACGACGAAATTCATGCCACTCACGATTAAATCGGTGAAGTTGTGGCCTAGTAGAACTCATTACGAAGCCAGTATCAAGTAGAAGAAATGAACAATCGAAGAAATCTGTAACGCGACATAGAGTGTTATAATTGGTTCTTGAAGAGAATATATTAATTATTTGAAATGTCAAAAATAATAGTTTGAAATATTGGAAAACATATTTCGATGTTATCAAATAACTACTGATATTCCATGATATAATTGATTTATAAAAATTATATTCTAAATTCCCGCCATTAGAAATTCAATTATATGTTTTAGCAGTTAAATATGGCGCCAGTTCTTTTGTCAGTTAAATGAAGCTGCGCAAACGCATCAAAGATACAATGCGCAGAACATGTTTAAACCATTACAAAACTATTGTAACTATATAAGACTGTAGATCGATCGGAAATATGAAATAAATGCTACAATTAAATATCATAAAACAAACATGTATCTATCTCCAAATGTTATTTATATCTATAAGAAAAATATCGAGCTTGCCATTAATTGTCATGGCATCATTTTGAATTTCGTGACGTCTTTCCAATGTTTCAGTATTTCTCTCGTAATGAACAAATAATCTGTGCAAAGAAATCAGAATTTTCAAATGAATGATGTGTAAGAGAAACAATATTATTACGTAAATGTGAAACAACAATCAAGGTTGAATGTTCTTAATACGAAATAGCGATCGATATTACAATCACAGAAATGATAAAGAAAAATGATGATTTAATGATAAATCACAACAATATTGAATAAATTATTCAATAAAACGTACTTTAAAACGCACGATGAAAGTATAATGAAGATATTGCATTTAACAAATGACGCACGGAATGATACGTCTGAATGCTTCGAGTTTTAACGATAGAATAACCTATCGTGCGTCGAATTCGTCCTACGAACGATGTGGCGGGGATACAAACGTACACAAATGCTTGGATTTAATTTACCTTGGACATATATAAAACTATTCCATAAATTATTATTTAAATTACTTCCGTTTAAATGTAAATTATCTTTCAACGTTGTATGAAATTCTTTCATATTTTACATACGCTACAATTTCGATTTTCGATCTTAATTTGCCTATCGATATGACGTGAAGCCAAATTCATTAACGTAGCGACAAATATATATTCTACAATACAAATTCTTGTCACAATATGTTACACATATACATGTAACTTTTTAATTTTACGTAAGAAATTATATAAATCACGGGGAATTTCAAATATCTTGAAAAATGAAAAAAATGCTAAATAATATATTTTAACTAAAAATCCTCCATGAATGCCAATGAAAACGTGCCTTATGATGTTTAGATCTATGTGCTATGAATTGTAATCATAATACTGTCGATGTGTAATTTTTACATTATCAAAAAGTATTTATAATTGAATCAAATGGCTATAAATTTTATAAATCCTTAAATACTTTATGATAAATTATATTACAAAAAGAAAAGAAAGCTGCTTTCAGTGATTGTAGGTATCATTATGATCTTACATCTCGAAATATGTGTACATAGAAAATTACTGTATAATGCGATTTCTCTGTTCGTAATTGCAAATAAATTATACCGCTTTTAAAATTTCATAATTGCTAACATTGTATATGTTTATAGCATATTTTTATTTTAATGAAATTGCATTATGTTGTGGTCGAACAATTAAAATTATAAATTCTCATAGATAATGGCCAAATCGGACAATTTTAAACATCATAATAAAATAGCCGAAGAAAATATTGTTGTACGTATGCGCATTTATTTCTATTGAATCTAAACTTGTAAATATTAGTAATCAAATTCCGTTTCATTTACATTTGCAAGCTTCAGAAAGCTTTGCTTTTCATTTTGTGTTAACACACTTATTATTTTTCATTTATTCTGGTAACTCAACTATTATGTGAAGTGTGGTGAGAGCATGAAAGAATACCTTGAACCTAGATTCGAGTGTCCTATTTGTTTAACTTGGCTGCGTGATCCAGTTTTAACATCTTGCGGTCATAAATTCTGTTCGCAATGTATATACACTTGGCTTCAGTAAGTTATATTTCAAAATGTTATAATTTAACAAGTATACATATGTACATATATGTATATATATGCACACACACACACACATAAAAATCTATTATATTTATATTTCATATTTATAAATTTAGTTTTTATTTTATAGAAAAGAAGGTGCTTGTTGTCCAGTTGATGGCAAAAGTCTAAAATCTGAAAGTGATTTATTCAGAGACTTATACACAAGTAGAGAAATATCACAACAACGTATACCTTGTCTTTACCAACAATTTGGCTGTGAGATTAAAATGTCTCCAGTGGATATGGAAGCGCATATAAATGAATGTACTTATAAACAAAGTCTTCCAGATTCACAAGTTATATATTGTTCCTTTAAGAATGTTGGATGCATGGAAACTTTCCATAGTGAAGAAAATTTACATGCACATTTAGAAGGAAATATAAATATTCATTTAACCGTTAGTTCAATTTTTTTTGTAACATTTAATTATAATATAAAAAAAAATTACTATCGCGATTTCATAGATGATGGCGAGAATATTACCACAATTCTCTGTTTTAAAAAGTAATGTCAATGCTGCAGCTGTAGAATCGAAATTATGGGATCCTCCACCAAAAAGTACAATGGAAAAAAATGAACCACCATTAGAATGGCAACAATTATTAAAGTGAATCTTATTTATATTTATATTTTACTTATAGTATGAAAAGTTTCTGCAAAATATATTTATAAAAATTTTTTATTGTAATTAAATGTTACATCTTCTTTTAGGAATCTGTATGAAAGGATAGTGGTATTGGAACAACAAAATAAAGAACTATCTATAACTGTATCTAATCAAAAGACTCAACTCATAACTTTGCAAACTTCTTTGCGATGTAGTCAGGAAGAAATGTTTTTACGTAGTTGTAATGGGGTTTATATTTGGAGATTACCTTTCTTTCATCAAAAACTTGAAAGCATGATGAAGGATTCATTAAAGATGTTTTATAGTCCTGGCTTTTATACTAGCCCTAATGGTTACAAAATCTGTGCTAGAATTAATATATCTTCTAAAGAACCTGAATTTCTGTCACTTCTTCTGCATATAATGAAGTCGGAAAATGACGACGGTCTAGATTGGCCATTTAATGGAACAATGTATTTTGTTTTAGTTCACCCATATAATTTGGAGAAAGATATACGAGAAATAACTTCTTCAAGACCAGATCTTGAAGCATTTAGAAAACCAGTATGTGAATTGAATAAGCGAAGCTTTGGCTATACAGAATTCGTGCGAATGCAAGATTTATCTGATTTTTTGCAAAATGATTGTTTAATTTTTAGAATAGAAGTTCGTGTTTATGATAAATTTAGAACACCAATATAATTGAAGAGTGTGTAGTGACACTAACTTTTCTTCTTTGTTTAAAGTCGGGATCATTTTTGAAAAACTTCCGTCCTTATCTTGTTGTAAATTTATAATATCGAAAAACATACATTAAGTATAAAAAACATTAAAATTTAAAGAAAACTCTAGTTTATGTAATATTATATTACGTATTTCTGCAGTTCGATTTATCGTTGACATAATTTAATCCTATCTATCTATTGTTATCTGTAATATAATTTTACACAAAAAAATATATTTAATTTATATTAATGGAAACACTATTGCATTTTTGTATTTGGTATAATTTTTAACTTTAGATATAAATGGAATCTTATATTTTATATAAATTTAAATGTACATAAATTTACATAAATTTAAATTTACATAAACTGACGTAAATTTAAATTTATTATATACTTTATGCAATTCATTCTATAATGTAATAAAAATTAATTTTATCTTTAATAAAATTTTAAATTAACAAACATGTATTTAAATTAACAAATATATATATTCTTAAAATATTTTTCCTTGCGTTTTTGAAAACCTGTAATATATTTTAATTATTTACTTACATTATTTATTACTTGACATATTACATTATTACATTATATGATACATTATACGATACTTATTTTTAATTTTGCAGCAGGCCAATTTATGTGAAAGTGGGGGAATGCCAATATATTGGATAGTGAAATTGCAACAGGTCAGAATACAGTGAAATCAAATACAAATAACATCACATTTTAAGAAACAAAATAAAAATGCAAATAAATATTACACGTATTATATTTATCTTTAATTCGGTATTTACGGGTATTTTTGGATTATTACTGAATTATGTGGAATTTTGTCTACCTAGTTTAATAACTCGTACTTATCGTTACGGTAAATTTTCTGTTAATACATATCACCCACTAGTTGCAAAAGTAGAGGTGCCTAAAAGGTGAGCAATTAATTACTTCATATATCCTATATATATTAACAAATTGTTTAAAAATAATATTAATTAATATAAATATTTTAGATGGTTTAAACATTTTTATATCTTTGCTGCTCCAACTTCAAGCTATGTATTATACTTGGTAATTTGCAAATATTTATGGAAGGATAATATTTCTGAAAATGTTATATGGATATTGGATATATGTTTGGGATCATTCAGACAAGCACTCGGTATGTACTTGAATACTTAGTACTTTGTACTTGAATGTTCAGTTAAAAATATTTTTTAATAATACACATTTTATTTAACAAATGTTTTCTAGTATCACCTGAAAGCACATTTATAGCAACTGTACTTTTAACTTTACATTGTTGGAAACGATTCTATGAAACACATTTTGTAAATATCTTCAGTGACAAGATGATGAATATTCTTCATTACATGATTGGACTTTATCATTATGTAGGAACTTTAATTTGTATTATAGGCGAATCCGAAGGTTTTGTTAAAGGTAATTATATATTTAAATATAAACTTAAAATTATTTTCTAATAAATTGATTCTAATTTCTTCTAAGACTGTATGTTTTTCATATAGGTTTAAAAGGAAATTTCTCTTGGAAGAAAATTACATATCTGCAATTAATATGTGCTATTATTTTTGTACTATCATCATACGTACAGTTGAGGACAAATTTGATCCTTAGTAAGTTACGGCAAAACAAAGATGGAAAGATTAATTCCACAACATATAAAATACCACATGGAGGACTGTTTAAGTATATATCAGGCGCATTACAACTTACAGAAATAATTATTTATATAACACTTTCTATCATTTTATGGCAAAGTTCTACTTATCATTATGTTACAATGTGGGTCTTAATTAATCAGGTACAAACATTATACAATATATTCTCATATAAAATTCTTAAAAAATTATTCTTAATAAGGTTGAATTACTAATCTCATTTTTATTTTAGACGTCTACTGCTGTTCTGACACACAGATGGTACGTACAAACATTTAAAAATTATCCAACATCTCGAAAAATTCTCCTTCCTTATATCTTTTAAATGTTACAAAATTTTTTGCATAATACAATGGATGCAGAAATTTCAAATATGTATGGAATAATATCGTAATTGTAATTAAATAAAATCGTATCATTTTCATAATGTATATGTTTCTGTAATATTTTAAACAAATTATGTTAAAGAATATGTGATTTTAAATATTAATTTATTTTACATTACGTACAAACAAATGTAAATTATGATTAAAATACAACACTTCAACAATAATTAGAGCTACAGTATTTATTTATTTATTATTTGTATCCTAATTCTTAATCTGACAGATAAATTGAAAATTTTCTTTGCAATATATACAAATAGTGACTTCTCATATTTATTTTTTCACTTGAACAATAAGCTGAAACAAATAATTTAATCCTCTCTGAGACAAAATAATACTAATTCTTAAAAGAATATAAGAAATAGAGTATGTTAATATGTATTTATTAAAAACTTTTACATACATCACGAAGATGAATGTTTTTATAAATATATTAACATACTCTAACATGAAAATAATTTATTAATTAATAATCTTTAAAAAAAAAAGCTTTGCCATACCTGTATGGATAGCCTTGTACTTTGTTCCTAAATATCGATAACAGTAAACTAAAGAAGATAGCGACTAATCCAGCGCCTATTGCTGCGAATATTCGCCGTTTTTTTACATCACCTTTACGCGAAGCGGCTTCGGTCATTAAAATCATACCTAACACCACTGCTCCATCTTATTATATTTGTTAAGGAAAATATTAACCTAACTAAACCTAACCTAAACCATATGTGTTTATATTCAAAAAAGTAGAATAAAATCATAAAAATTGTACACTATACAACTATACATTCCGCTCACAGAATAGCTAAATCATCACATAGATGTTAACTCTGAGAGTTAATGAAAAGGATACTTAGAATCATAACAATGTATGTTTCTAAAATGAATTGCCCTTGAGAAGAAGCATGTATATAAGCCACATTCCCACTAGGTGATCTGTGTATGAATGGTGGACCTCTAATATGATTCCACATTTGTCCAGATATCATTGTAAGTGTAAAGAACTGTTTAAAAAAATAATAATTATGAGATAAATTATCATTGGAAGGAGTATACTCACATCATGAAACATTACCAATGCACCAAGACCCCAAATTGTTTTGTTATAAATGAAATCTAAATTATTGCGCCTCAAGTACAAAAATCCTCCAATAAGTATCAGCAACATTATTATTGCAACCGTGCCAGAATAGTTTGGTGGTCTAAATATTCTAATCTGTAATAAATTTTAAACAGATTAATATGACTTTTATTTTTATTTGTTAAATGTTCCACATATATCACATACCTGAATATCAGTACGTTCAGATATCCACTTTGCAATTGCTTCTGCTCCAAATCCTATTCTTTGAATATCCATGGTATCTGCAGATTTTGGTTTGCCTTTTGGTGGAAAATGCATATATACTGGTGCGGTATTCAATCTCATCTATTGTAAATACATTGAAAATTATTTGTAAGTATTATATTTAATACACGTTTGTAACATACACATTTAGTACATTTATAACATACCATGTGGAATACATCTGATCCTTCATCGAAATCCACAGATGCGAAAAACAATTTCTTTGAGTGAGATTGTAAATATCTAAATGAATTTGCCACTATCACAAATTCATCATTTGCATGCCTAATGAATATAAAGGATAAAAAAACTAATTAACATTAAGCGTAGTAAAATTTGAAGATAAATTAACATTAAATTTACCTGCATATTTGACACTGTCTTTGAGGTGCCATAGCAGTGAACATTACAACAACAGAATAATTTCTCGGTGTAGTTTTGACATATTCTTTAAATTTTGCCCCGTTGAACTTAATCACAGGTCTTGTGAGAGCTAGTTCTGATAATTGCTGCACTCGATCTGACAACGACGAACCAGGAGTCTGAAACACAGTATTTCGCTTACAATAGACACAAGAAAATTGAAATTTAGGTCAATTTTGAGTGATTGAAGGTTAAGTAAATTTTCGTTGTATCAAAAGGTTACACAACATGTAAGATGTGTTGAAATGCACAAATAATTTAAAAATATATTGTTATTATCATAATTGTTTTATTATTAATTCCTGGATTGAGTATAAAAAATTGAACGATTAATTTGACACTTTGACACGTATGACAGTTGCAATAATGTAATTAAACGCTCACGTTTTTCATCCTGTATTGGCCATAAACATAATTTAAACTTAGAACAAGTCCCAACAATATAATACATTTTTTACATTCCATTGCAAACAATATTATAAAATAATATATTACATGTACTTTTCTACTACGAGCACGTTACAACCATGCAGGTAACAAACGAAGCTTATTGGTCTATTCGATACAACGTGGCATTTGACGTGAGATGTGAAAATGTTTCGACTCAAATATATATTTCCAACAAATATTATTAAAATAAATATTTCAAAAATCTATTATTTAAACCATACAAATTTTTCCTCTCTCATATGATTCATTTATTATTTCTTATATAAATTATGTATAGCTTCTCAAAATTATATCTTAAGCCTCTACACGTATCAGAGCGTGTACAAAAATTTCGATACTCTAATATAAAAGTGCAATTGATATTGATACTAAATATTCTAAATATTCTCTAAATGCTATAAATATTCATTGTAATGTCGTTCAATATATGAAATATGAAATATTATCGAATATATGTTGTGAGATTGATTTTCGTACGGCATTGGTTCACAGTGGAAATTTATCTGCCACGTGATTGGTCAATTGCGCAACGTGCGCTCGTTGATTTGTCGTTCTGTTATTGTTCAGTTGGTATAACCGTTATTTCAAATCAGAAAAACCGGTAAAGTATTTCACATGAAAAACTGTTTGGTGCTGCCTAGGAAATTTATATATAACGACCTTCCCCTCGCATACGAAAACAGCAGTTCGAAGAGGAGTGATGTGCAACGGACGTTATTAACTGTGTTCTTCGTTAACGTTAACGAATTACGTTCTACGTTAAATTCTGTTAAAAAGTGTCGTTCATTTTTTGTTGCTAAACACATTAAAACTATCCCATAATGTCATTTTCAAAAGCTAGAATTCAAAGATTTAATGAATTCGAAAGTAAGTAAACATATTCTTTTATTATCTTAGATTTTCATTGAGTGTGGGCACATCTCTTTTTCCAATTGTATTTTATCGTTGTTAATAATATCATTCCCTTTGCAATTTCTTGCTTTCTCAATAGCTCTGAAATTTTTTTAAAATTCTTAACTGTTGTACGATCTCTCTTCACACAAAATATATTTCGGCGGGAAATAAGTCAGTGATCTTTCAAGAAATATAAAAAAAATATTAATCTGTATATATCGAAAAATTATCAGTTTTTAATCGTAATTCCATAAAATAATATCGTAATCTTAATTCCATGCAACAGATATCGTGTTCTTGTTTTATTGTCCTTGTCCTTTGTGCACAAATTTTAGAAAATTAAAGTTAAAATATTTCTTAAATTAAAGCTTCATCAATATGCTTAGGTTAATATTTTTTTTTATAGAGAATGTCAAGCTTCATTGAAAACAGTAGAGGTGATCTTGAAATCTTCGAAATCTTTCCATCTGCAAAAAGATCATGATTCCTCTAACATGGTCAAATTTTTCTTAACAAAGTTTTCTCATATTCTTAAAAACAACGGTTATTCAAGTTACATGCTTCACGTTGAATCGTATTTATATTGGTTCTAAATGTCATGTCATTCTTGTCATTTTTTTGGCATATTAATGTCTGATCATCAAATTAAAAAAATTTTACTTATCAGTAATTAAAATCTTTTAATTATCAAATTTAAAAAATTTTACTTAGAAGATTTAATTTAATAATTACAAAAGTATTAAATATTTTTGTATTTACACGTAAATATATCTAAATAACCGGTGATAGACGAAAGTAACAAACGATTGTAGAATTACTTGTTGTTGATAACAATAAAAACTAAACTATTTTGAAATAATGAAAAGGAAAAGCAAAATGATGAGATAAAAAGAAAAAAAACCATTTAATTTTTAAATGTTGCGTGCAAAAATAAGAGAGACGGAGGGAAATAAAAGGCGGTATGAGATACAAGATTTCGTTACGGAATCGTGGAAGAAGGGATGGTCAGGACGTGTTGGAGAGTACACCTGGTAATTCGATGACCCCAGTGAGACATGTATCTTGCAACTAAAAACAGCTGTCTTTCATTTGCGCCTTCTTCTCGCGTGTAAACTAACACTCGCCGAAATGGGAATCCTTTTTACCAACGCTACTTGTGTTCCTACCCCTTCCACGTTATATATATATATATATTACACACACACATACGCGCGCGCGCGCATACACACGATCACGCGCACAAAAAATATATATATATATAATTAATTTCATTTTTAAATAATTATTTAATTAAGACAGCAATGTTTTACAGCAAGGTAATGAAATCAAAAGTTCTTTTTATAAGCATTTCAATATTAATATTTTATGAGTCATTGTACATGTACAAAATGTAACAGGGAAATAAAAGTAAGAATATATAAGATCTCATTTCACTGAATATTAGTTTTATATGAAATTACTTACAAAGGTATTAGAACGTCTTCTTTCTTTTTCTGATTTTAAAAAGGAAATTTTTTTACAGATGACGTACCTCCACCAGGGGCATATGATCCGAAGTTTGATAGCAAGGTGAAAGGTCTTGTTATTGAAAAATCAGAAAGATTTTATGACGGCAAAAGTGTTGCTAGTGCAGAGAGCAATGTAACAATATGCAGTAAACATGCAAATAATGTTGCAGCCAGTTTTAGAACAGTGAGAAATCAATTTAAAAACTTTGTATTGATTCTGTGCAAGATGTTGATCTGAGAGATACATGCAGAATCATTTCACTGTTGATTATTAACGACCAATTGTTAACTGTGTTATTAATTGTTAATTGTACTGTCTCTCCCTCTCTCTCAGATATATCACGCTTCCACGGAATTAACGTACTATTGAAAAATTCATATGTATTCTTAGAGAATATTTTAATTTCAATAACAATGTGTATTTTAGCCACAATTACCACGGAAACAAAATCTAGAGCAAACAAGATCAAGTTCGAAACTAAAACCACGTGCACTTATTGTTTCTAATGACCAAAAATTAAAATACAATACCCAGCATCACCTTGCTGATCTGCAAGTAGAATGTTTCAACAAAGACAAGACGATAGAGGAACTGAAGAAACACATCGAAGACATGAAGGAGGAAGTGCGAAAATTGGAATTGCAACTCGAAGAATTACGCAAGAAACAAACAGACGTGGAAGAGCAACACCGAAAGGACATAGAAACAATGGTTTTAAAATATGTTGTTTTTGGCAAATACAATTTCATTTCCGAATATATAAAAATATTTTATTGATAACTTTTGTGTCCAGGCTACAATGCAACAAGAGATCTTAAACGATTACGACGAGAAGCATCAAATAGAAGTGAAACATCTTCGTTGTCAGCTTTCAGAAGTCTTGGAAGAGAAAGAACGCGAAATTCAAGCAAGAAAAACTATAGAAGGTGACCTTAGAAATCGTATCGCGGATTTCTCGAAAAGAATAGTTGCATTAGAATCTGAATTAATAGACAAAAGGCATACAAACATTGACAGAGTAAATATACATTAATTTTAAAGGATTAAAGTAATTAGAAAGTATGACAACCTTGTATCAACTTTTTAAATTTTTATGTGTAGGTTCAACTTCTCGAAATACAAATCGAAGAACAAAGGACAAGATTAGAAGATATAACAATAAGTCACAAACATGAAGTTGATTTATTGGAGCAGGAGAAGTCTAAACTCAATTCGTATGTTGATAATTTAACGGATGAACGTGATAAATTGGAGCTAAAATTGCAAAAGCGACAAGATGTAATTCTCGAACTACAAGGTCAATTATCCACTATTCAATGTGAATTGGACGAACTGAAAGCTGAATATGAAAAAGTTATTGAAAATTCTTCAAAGCAAATAGACGATCTTAAATATAAATATGAAAAAGAAACTGATCAATTGAAGCTCTCTTTTGAAAAAGAGAAGACGATTCTTGTCAATGAAAACCAATTTGAAATATCGCGCAGGATAGAAATTGAAGCTAAAATGAAAGATATTGACCAGCAAAATAATTTTCTTACGGAAGAACTGGAAAATGTTCAAAAACTTTTCAAAGATGTAAGTATAGAAATTTCTAACTGCTTAGATAATAAAAGAAATATTTATCTGGCTTCTTACTTGAATGCAGGTTAGTAGTCGTTTGCGCAAAGCACATCAAGAATTAGAGGAATCAGAGAGGAAACATGTCCTTGTTTTGAAGAAACACCAGGAGGAATTGGCTGATGTAATGAAACTTCACGACGAAGAAAAATATGAACTGGAGCAACAATTGGAGAGTGCAAGAATGGATTATATAAAAGAAATAGAAAATGTACGAACGTACAACATTCGTGTACATACATTGCACGCTTTGTTTATATACAATGATTTTTCTGTGAAATAACACGTATTAATTTCTTGTGTAGCTAACGATAGCGAGAGACAAAGAAATAACAGAAGTAAAAGAAACGGTGACTAAAAAGAGCGAAGAAGAAATCAAACGAGTTAAACAGTATGCCGATAAAATAGTAGCAAATGCAGAGGCTGTTACTAGAGAAACATTAGCAGCTTGCCGTACCGAATGCGAAGAAAGAGTAAAAAGAGTGATTGCTGATAGTGACGCGAAAGTAAGCGGGTCACACGTGCGTAAAATGAAAAACATCACTGACTGCGTTCTCTTTTCTGATGTTCCAATAAAAATTCTTTTCTACCATATTAAGAATAAAAAAAAAAAAGAATTTTTATTGCAAACATTATTCCTTTTTCAAAGCTTCTTCGAGTACTCTACTTTCCAGTTTCTGTGATGTTTGCCCTGTGCTCTTCTGCAAGAGCATTTCTGTACAATTTCTAAAGTTAACTTATTAATTTAGATAAACGCTATGATCAGAGAGGCAAAGGTTACCGTGGAGGAAGAAATGCGACTCACCGCGGAAAGGTATAAAGCATGTTTAGCGCACGTAGAAATGGAACGAGCGGCGTTAGATGAAAAACTAGCGCACAAAGATGCCGAAATTAATAGACTTTCTGCGACTCTTAAAGAATTAAAGAACTCGGCAGAAACTCAGGTAAGTGCACAGTGTATATATGGTCGAAAACAAAAATATTTCAATCTAATGTAAATACATTTTATTAAAAGTATTACTTTGTACTACTAATTGATTAAACAAATTTAGGAAAGTTTTAGCCAGAGTTTACAATTAGAATTGGATAGAGCAGAAACAGAATTGGCAGAAAAGAAAGAGGAATTGCGAGCTCTGAAAGATCAAATTAGAACCGAGGCAGCAGAAATGGTGGCTCGACGAAAGAGGTATGTCATTTTTTACAGAAATGAATATATATGTGTGTACGTGCGCGCGTATGTACATGTAAAATTTTGTTTAGGTTCGAAGTTGTAATGGCTGAAAATCAAGCCTCAGTTGCTGCCTTAACCAAACGTCTGGCCCAAAGTAATGCTGAAGTGGAAAGGTTACAGCATGAATTGAAACGAGGTGAAGATTGTATCGACGAGCATCGTGATTTACTGAGTATTATGCGCAACAATTCCAAAATAGTACATGAACAAGTGCGCGTTTTGATGGAAGAATTGGACATTAAAAAGGGATTGGTTGATCAACTTGAAGCTGAAAGTATAAGCGAAATGGAATCATTAAAATCTGTATTCGAGGCTAAGATTGGTGATTTCAAGAACATAGCAGCCAAAAAAGTTGCGAAATTACAAGCCGAAAATGATGTAAAGACTGCTCAAAATGTTGAGGTACTATTTTTTTCTTTCTACTTTGAATGCAAAGATGTAAAAAAAATTTGATTTGATAAAATATTGCTTGAAAATTAGGTAATTATTTAAGCTTTAAATTCTTTAAATTAATTAAATCGTCATTTCATTAAAAATCTTAGATGAAAAACCAACTTCAAGAAATGGCTAATCATCTCGCCGAAGCACAAAATATGCTGCTTAAATTGGAAGAGAGAAACGATGCTCAAGAACTTGAAATTTCTCGGGTGGCAATGCTAAACGACAAGCTTAACGCACAGTTGAAAGAACATGAAACAACGATAGAAGACTTGAATAAATTGCTAGAACATCAATCGCAAGCTCATAAAGTTAGCTTAAACGAAGTATGTTCTCAAAATTGCTGTATTAGTTTGTTTCCTTTCCACGTGACAAAATATATAAATTTTTTTATTACGCTTACAGGCTAATTTGAAGATAGAAGAACTTTCTGTTAAAATTAAATGTCACGAAGAAGAAGAAAATCATATCCAGGTAATAACTGATAATGCAATCTCTTTTTATGTTGTATATATTAAACAACAAGGAGATTTTTATATTAAACGATAAGGGATTTTTATCTACATTAAGTGTATCTCGTTTCATACATGTATAATTCATTCAAAACTACTATTGTTTCTATGTAGAAAAATGTTGAATTATTTGAAGAAGAACGAAAGAACCGGGAAAGTTTTGAAAAAGAACTTATGGAAAAGCTCGAGGAAGAAAAAGCTCGTAGAGAAGCCGCCGAAGAGTATGTTTCCTCCTTTAAAGACAAGAGTAATTTATCTTTGAAAGCTAATAAAGTAGCGAGGTGATAAATTTATTTTTATCTGTTCAGGGAAATGGAAAAGCTTTCCAAATATAACGAGCAACTTTTAAAAGATTATCAAGAGATTCATGAAAAATATGCTGAAGTTGTTGGTCATCATAATCACAGGCAAAGAATTAAGCATGTGTCTCAGCTTAAAGATAAAATCAATCAACTGGAACAGGTGCGTTCAACTATTTATCTTGGGATTGATCATTTCGTATTGCACGTTGAATTTTCTTATTGCAACTACTGAGACTAATTATAATAAAATTTAAATGTTTTTTTTTAGGATTTGTATGCGAAAACGAGGACAATAGAACAGCTACAAAAAGTTACAGAAAAAATGAAAGCTGAAGAGAAGCGCGCGCACTGTAAAGGAAAAGAAAATATATCAGGAGTGTCGCAGAGTTTTACAACACCTGTTCCTTCTCCACATAAACCATTAACGCCATTAAAAAATCGAAATTAATCTCGATATATCATTAAAATATTACTCGTTCACGGTTTCCTTAAACGCCAGTTTCATAAATGTCATAATTGTTATATTACTGTAATCCTTGCGGTTATTATAAATGCGAGTTGATAATAATTTAATTCGTACACTAAAAACTCACGCACTAAACTCTCCATGCACACACATGATTGTATTAGAATTATTTATCGATGCAATAATTATTAATTTGCATTTATGATAATTAAAAAAAAAAAAAAGAAAGAAACTAGAATTTATGAATGAAAAATAGCAGAACCTAACAAACGGAACATTTAACCTCGCAAAAGATGTTAGATTTGACAAAAGTTAAATTTGTTTGATTTAAGAATGTTAGAATGATAAATAAAAGACAGTTGATCGTTGATATACCGATTCAAAAATTGACTCTTAACGAACAAATTTTTACTGAACATTAACCTTGCATAAAGTATTAGATTTGATGAGAAGTTATTAAATTTGTTATTAGGCTTAAGAACGTTAGAATCATAAATTTATAAATTTAACAAATTTAGTAACATTTTATGAAATCTAATACTTGCGGGGTGGAACGTTCTGTTTGTTAAATTCTGCTAAAAATATGTTTAGTAATAAAATTTAGATTTTACAAATACTGACATTTAGCTTTAAGATTGACGTTCAAAGACAGAAAAAGAGACTTGATTTCTCTTTATATAATAGACGTTTTTCTCTGATATTTCAATATATCTAGAGTTATAGAAATTCTATTTGTAATAAATATTTATTTGTGAATTTATTTGTAATAAATAGTTATTTGTGACGAAAAACGCGTTGAATTTTTGAGAAGTGACGTTAAACTCATCACAAGTGTATAGAGTGAGTTCTCTATATATTTTAGATGAAATATATAAACCACAGTTACAAACATATATATATATATATAT